CCAGTTCGGCCATTCGTGAACATTTGAAAAAAAAAAAAAGACTGTTGTGCATTATATGCCGTCCGTTCATGTTATTGTATAAGCAGCGATGCTGCGAGTGTGCAATATGTGTCTATTGTCTGCTGTGTGAATTTAGGTCTCTACGAAAGTTCATTAACATTGTCTCATGACGCAATTAAGCGGTACACATATTGTGCGGCTTAATGCATTCACTGGCTATCAGCGTGCATTTGTTCGCGTCTTCACAGAGTGCTTCGGCGTGTAATTAAGCTCGGACCAAAATTAGCTGGCGCACCCTGCATACTTAAAGGGCCGAGCGCTATCACCTGAAAGGGTTCATTCCGAAACGCTATAGCCACCTACCCACCTCTGGCGGTAACGATGCCGTAGGCCGAGTGGTGAACAAAGGTGTCGGTCATGCTGAACTCGCAGTCACTCTGCGTGACGTGAGCGGCGGTTGCGTACTCCATGATGAATGCCACTTTGTCTTCGTTCTTGACGCGGTCGAGGCCCTCCGCGAAGGTTCCCGGGTTGTTGCGTCCGCTACGTTCGACGAACTGTGACATCCTTTGATGCAGGGGCACGTTGGAGTGCTGAAAGTGTAATCATCGTAATCATCATCAGCTTGACACGTCCTTCGCAATTACACTGAGCGCGAAACAACAGACATGCGAAAAAAGACACACTGTTTTATTGCGTCCGGCAGCACACATCTCATGTGCACTGCAGAACGAAGGCTGTGATGTGCAACACATCCTGTTAAGATACCTGCCAGTTTCTTTTTGCGCTTTCGAATTTTCCCGCTTCGTCACTCCGCTTATCCCTTGACGATCCTCGAACGCGTTTCTCATCTCTTGGTGGCCATTCCTAAGCTCTAACTTTACCATCTGTTATCTATTCTTCTATGACAATCACCTAGCCACTTCTATTTCTTTTTTTCTTTCGAAGGACCGCGCAACCTTCTCTCAAGTTACGAAAAACGAGCGCGTTATTATTTCCAGGCGCTTCTCGTCATTGTAGCACAAGTGGTGTTGCCAGTAATCTGTTCCAGTGTAGTCATGAAGAAATAGCCTCTTGATCAATTCACATGCGAGGGATACAAATTAGGAATTGTCTTTTATTCTGCTTTGCCATGCAGCCAGACACCCGTTGTGAATTGTATCCAATGAATATCATGCGAGGTCAATTGATACGATTTCGTTTTGTGCGTTTTAGACGTAAGGGTGGAAATGACCACGTGTAGTTAAAAAGCGCGACATTTCACTACTACATAGGCTACACCTATTTGTTCTTTGATTCTCTTTGCTGTTTTCCTTACCTCCTAAGGTTACGATTACTACTTTCGTTCAATCACACGCTGGGTGCACCCTCAGTTGACAGACTTTCCGTCGCTCCCAACAGGCATGAATATTCGGAGCTTTCTCATTTCAGTTAGCTTGCGTGCCACAAAAGCGAGACGACAGCCATAAGTTCTTTTTTTTCTTATTTTAATATATTTAATTCCCATAAAGGCGTCGATACTCCTCGTAAACCTTGGATCGACGTACAGCATATGCAAGTACGGGCCGACTGGTTAGCATGAAATCCATTCCAAATAAATCATCTAGAGTGGGTGCGATCTGTTGGAATTTCCTTAAAAATACAATATATTTTTGTACATTTGTTTTCAAGCTAGTTACGCATTCCAACGCCTTGAACTTCTAGGTTCAGCCATTTTTTTCAAGTGATCAAGCTTGTAGATGGCAGCTTTGTTTTTGTCATATTTGTGCGCTTGACCACTAAGATGTTTTGGTGAAATTCGTATATTAATATCAACATGAGTTACTGTCTCAGATCACTGTGTATTAGTCGCGAAACTAATGAATTACAGAGAGATAGAAAAAATATGTGCAGACTTCTGCTAGCATTATTGCCATTTCCATGCAATATTGGTGAGGCACGGGTTTGTGCAGACTGAGAAAGACACGTTTCATTGCAAAGAATTCTGGATGCACGTTCTAGAGACTTTCCCTTGCACTAGAAAAGCCCAGCACTCCCTATGTGTATATAAAATAACAATGAAAAAAAAGAGCCTGGAATCGGTGGCACACGCCCATGCTGGAACAATGATTCCACCCGCAAACAAGCTACCCGAGGTTCTTCCTTTTTTATACATCTTTTATGCCTAGTAATTATTTCACACGGTGCTTCGTACAATGCAAAAAATATTTTAGTTACCTAAACTCTAGTACTAAAATATTCACAATACTCAATAATGGAACTTCTTGACCTGTACCTATTGTGCGAAACTGCGGCTTACCAACTCTTTTTCTTTCTTATCGCTGTACAGTGTGTGCCATACAATGGAACAACGGGGACGCATAGCAATACACATTTATTTATTGCATCTTCAGTACAGCTGACAACCAAAGTTAGCCACCTGTAACCGATGTCAGTCAACGTTAGTTAGCGCTGCTACTGCGGATTAAGTATAGGGCAAGCTTCGCAAAAAACGTACAATTTTTTTACCAAGATTAGTTTATGCTGTAGTGCATATTTTGTCACTAATGTAGCTTTATGTGAGAGCTGGTACGACCTACTTTTTATCCAAACATCTTTTTTTTTCGCTAATTTTGCTCAAAACGAGGGGAGGAAAAGAAAGAAGACTAAGGAGATGGTGGAAGGTCAGCCACACAGGAGTAGAAGGTTAGAGGTATAAAATATAGTCAGAAGTGTGCATGCAAAAAAGAAAAAGAAACATTCGATTGAGTCTAAACAACTTTTCTTCTTTTCACAGTATACCGGGCACAAGATCTCAATATCTCAGGCTTATGGCGTTCCCTTGTAGATGTTCGGGCCATGGTGCTTACTTAAGGCTTGCAGGCTTACGCGTGCGCACGAGGGGGGGGGGGGCAGGGGAGGCATCTGCCTCCCCCAAGTCACCTAATAGAAGGAAAGCGCTGCAATACCTCCCCCCCCCTTTCCTACCATGTATGGGGATCTCAGCTTACTAGTGGACAGGTGAAGTGTGTCTACTAAGCACTAGAGTATTAAGATCATTGGTTTGTCTTATTTGTTAGTTCACAATTCGGTTTTGACTGCCGTTTTCTTTTCTTTTTGTGCTTGGGTGAAAAACTGAACGCTTACACCACTTGCATTACAAGGATTCGCATTGAAAGTGGGAGTGGCGTTCCTTGTATCGGTCTTGGAGGAACACGCACATGCACGCATGCACGCCGCATTCACTCATTCACTCACTCACTCACTCACTCACTCACTCACTCACTCACTCACTCTCGTCTCACCTCAAGGTAAGCGCGAGTGCTTCCACCTCGTATGGCGATGTACGTGAACCCGGGCGTCTTCATAAGCTGGTCGACAGAGTCGTAGTCGGGTCCTCTGTCCTGCCAGAGGATGCTCTCGCACAGGTTGCTCACCACAATGGCGAGCACGATGAAAGTGAAGAAGTACCAGAAGCCAGCCAACACGCGAGTAGCTGGGGCTCTGCCAACATAGGTAAGGAGTAGGCGGAATAACGTGAAATCGTTATGAAAATCTGGGCCAAAGAAAGTCTAAAGAAATGCCTCTTGTTAACTTCCCCGTACGAGTTACACCTCTTAGTGCATTGCCACGTCGTAAGAACTGCGCAAGAATCACAAATGTGTGCGTGCGCTTTGTTTATCTTTCGTTTGCGCTTGTTTGTTTTAGCACGACACAAACTTCAACTTCAAGTCACCTCTCGTATTGTTTGTTTGTTTGTTTGTTTTGTCATGTGCTCTGATCAGAGGCGTAGCCGGAAAGAAAGCGAGAGGCGTTGAAAGAGGGAGGGGGGTTGTTGAGCCCCCCGCCCCGTAAAGTATTCTTGGCTGCCCCATTGCATCTGACTTCTCCTTTTTTTTTCTCTATCTCTCTTTCTCAATACAAGCTCCACCTTAGAAAAATTTTCTCTCTTATCTCTCATGCGCTCTGTACTTGTAGCGTATAGTCGGTTTTTTGTTTTAAGCACACACATCACTTATTACATTCAATTTCGGTGCTGTTTACCCTCACTGTCTTGTGTGACGCCATGTTAAGGATCCTTAGGGTTAAACGAACGAATGGCATAGCCAAGATCGAGGGCGCTGGCTCCATTACCGGCACAGGCGGCCACATTTAGAGTGTAGCAAAATGCATTAGCAGTCAGCGTACTTTTAACTATGTGCATGTTAAGGAACCCCATGTGGCCGAAATAACTCAAAGCCCCTCACTATGGCGTGTCTAATAGTATTGTGGTTTCAGAGTGCTCAAACCATAAGTTGTTAACGCGATATCTTAAAGAGTTTGTTTTGCAGTAATTCCGGTGTCAGTGTTGCCGATCGCGTCGTTGGTTTTGAGCAAAAAAGCATCTTGTGCATGACCAATAATTGACAGAGATGGAAATAAAATAAACAATAAAAATTTCCTTGTCCAAGTGAGGATCAAACTCAGGCCGTTCGCGTGAGAAGCAGCTGTTCCGTCACAAGGTCACACGCCTCTTTGGAAATGCAGTGAAAATAACTTTTATGCCTTACAAACACAAGCGTCCTGTATACAGGTTTCACAATGCAATGTGCAATATCGAAGAATATTTGCGTTGTACAAGCGTACATTGCCATCGGGCGTCAAGAAGGATAGAAGCAAACATAAAGAGACAAGGCAGGGAGAAAGAGAGAAAGAGAATAAGGATGGAAGAAAGGCAGGGAGGTCAACCATGGCTGAGCCTGGTAGGCTACCTTGCACTGGGGAGAGGGCAAATGGAATAAATGTTAGAGAGAGAGAGAGAGAAGGAGAGAAATCTCACTCATGCCGTCGACAAAACGGCAGGTTTACAAAAAGACATCTGGTTGGCTACTCTACACTCGAATATTAGCGAAGGGGACAAGAAATATGAGAAAAAGGAAGGAGGTAAGAGAAGGAAAATTAAAAAAAGAAGAAGAGACAGCCAGTAATTTCATTGCAGAGTGTTGAACTCCACCGCAAATCAGAGGCATTCACGCAAACCTGTCGTCTTCAAAACAAATGATTACCATAGCGACTTCGTCGTTTAAAGACGGCCACCCGTTACAAAAGGCAAACACGACACCACACGCATTTTCTTGAAACCGTGTAATGGGTGCATAACAAGTTCGAAACGTTTCACGCACACAATTGCACGTAGTTCAAAGCATGCTCCCCCGTTGCACAGAATGTAGCGACATGCAACACATTCACTGACACAAACCACTTTCAACTTCATAGACTACAATTTAGAAATACACAATTTATACATCTCCAGTAACCTCATACAAAAAATATATAATGAGTGGTTGAAGCACACGCTAGGGACAGGATATCGCTATCGCGTCCAACTCCTATATAGGCGGAGCTTATGGGTCCTTCAATGTTTTATCATTACGCTAGGTATAGCCGCGCATGGGGCACAAACTATCGCGCAAGTGCTTTTAACAATACAAGTCAACGCAGCTCAAGTCAAGCTTATGCCTTTCTTTTATGGTCACCGAGAGAATACGCAAGGTCTTCCGCAAACATCGGACTGTGTTGACTAGAATAGCGTCGCTTAGCGAATATTATTCTTCCGAGTTTATTCGTATCTCATGCCCTTGTGGTGAAATGGACGAGCATATTATTATGAAGTGCTTATATTTGGGTACTGTTAATGACTTTTTTGATTAAATTTTACTGTCCCTGCAGCTTGCGTTTCGTCATTAATCACCTTCATAATGTCCAGGTTCAATACTTGGATTACTGTTTCGATAAGGCGTAAACGCGTCATTTGCTTGGAAAATTTTGTACCAAACCACCATATTACGTTGCCCTGAAGATTAAATACTTCACCAATCTACTTTTTTTGAAGATATCGGAGCGGCCTTTGTTCAACAGCACTTCGGCGTAAAAGTTTCATTAAAGAATTCACCAGACCATGAGAGGCGTGGGTGTGCACTTCCTTCTCTACTTTCTGTGAATAAAGCTTACGTAAAACAAATCAAACGCACAGAATAGATGATGTTCAGCGAGTATGACAATGACTGAGATAGTAAGAGGAGGGGATATTCATTTAGACCAGCCCATACACTTTTATTACTTTTTAGCGTATATTTAGCCTCAAGTGTACACTTTTAAAAAAGACAGTGCTACTTACTAACTTTGAAGTAGTAAATTGTTGTCACAACATTCACTACATAAGTAGTAACTGTAGGTAGTAGACCACAGACATTTACTACCTCTGGTTGCTTCTAAGGTAGTAAACGTCTGTGGTATACTACCTGCAGTTACTACTTGGGTAGTGAATGTTGTGAACACAATTTACTACCTCAAAGTTAGTAAGTATAGCACTGCCTTTTTTTTAAAGACTGTAGTAGTTTTACGCGATAGCTATGTTTCGTATTTTAGCCCCGCCGTAGTTGTTTAGTAGCTAAGGTACTCGGCTGCTGACCCGCAGGTCGTGGGATTGAATCCCGGCTGCGGCGGCTGCATTTTAGATGGAGGCGAAAATGTTGTAGGCCCGTGGGCTCAGATTTGGGTGCACGTTAAAGGACCCCAGGTAGTCGAAATTTCCGGAGTCCTCCACTACATCGTCTCTCATAATCATATGGTGGTTTTGGACGTTAAACCCCACATATCAATCAATCAATGTTTTGTATTTTAAACAACGTTGGTGCTTTTTTTCTACTTTTATCGGAGGGAAACGGTGTCTTTGATGATAACACAGTAGATCGACGCAGGAAAATACCGTTCCGCCTCTCATATGATTGATCGCTACGTTGAAAGTGTATGTTCATTGCGATGTTGAAATACGCGCAACCAAACAAACCAGCACTCAAAAAAGCCATTTTACGAGAAAACTGTGTGAGTTTTTAGAAACTCAATTATTTCAGAGGCTGGATTTATCGCAGAAATTCCCAGAGTAAGATATTTCAATACTAATTACTTTTTCAAAAATGTAAAAAAAATATATTTAGGCTGCATTACAAAGTATTTTTCAAGTAGCAATGTTACATTAGACGTAATAACATCACATTGCTATTACTTTTCATAAGTGATGAAATTATAATACAATTACGTTTACAAAAATTCATTATTCACTGTCTAGGTCAAGTATACAGTGCATTTACATTGAAATCTCAGAGATATTTAGTGCCCCGTTCCTAGACATCGCAGTCAAATAAACATGTGCTTGTTTACTTAATTCATATTTGGCCAAATGTTAATTCCCCAAGCAAAGTGAACATGTATATTTTATTGAAAAGTAATAAGAAAAGCGATGCGATTTTTTTTTATGTTACTCGCTTGAAGGTATTCATCACATCACCACATTATGAGCCTACAAAGTTATTTCACTACGTTGCTAAGCGCAGAAAAATGTGATTTACTTACTCTAATTTCATTACTACCAAGTCCGATGTATCCTCAAGTTCAATCATTATTACGTGAAAAGCGAAAGGAGCAGGCCCGTAGAAATGTTTCATGAGTTTCGCGTTTAGTTCCACTCAGTCACCCAAAGTTCGCAGTAGCTTCACGTCTACGTAAGAAGAACAAGCTTTTTTTTTCTTTAATTTGAAAATATGTAAGTGGTATCGGTATGAAAATCACGGATGCACTTATCAAGGACTGAGCAAACGTAGCGATGATTCAATCTAAGTTGGCGCGTTTCTGTTTTATTGAAGAATCAGCAGCGCCTACTGGTTAGATAATAATTATTGCGATAGTCCTCTTGCACCCGAATTAGTGCTACTCTTGTGGGCAATGTAAGCGAAATGTTATTATTTCACGTTTCAAACTAATGAAGGTGCGACAGACGTTCTGCTTTCTATAACACAATCCTGCCTCTCATCGCGCTAGGCTTATTACTGTTTATTTTTTCTCTTTCTGCTGGCATGTTGCTCTGTGAACGCAGGCGCAAGTGACTTACGGTGGTCATGCAAATGAAGCCACTTTCACACAGATCTTTTTTTCTTGCAGCTGACTCATTTCGTTGGGGTCGTGTACTTTCTTACTTCAGCCCAACAGCTATATTTGGTCGGTACTGTTTCGAGCCCGCAAACACGTTCAAAGTCTGTATGCATAGTCAGCGTGAAAAGTTCAAGGATCTCCCTGTGCAAGAAGTGCGAGAGAAATCTGAATATAACCACTTTGTTGGCACACTATCTTTGACTGCAGTATCGAGTATTAGAACTTGCAGCCTTGGTTGTTTGATGCCTTGAAATTCGAATTGGATTCCACTGGAGATACTGGCACTTTAGTGATCTCTCCTGCATGCACTGCTCGTAAGAGGGCTTTGAGCTCAAGTTGAAATGCGCACGTACTTATTAGCAGACGTTGAACTTGCTTATCATACATTTCTCACTCCAGTGTACGAACCGTACTTAACTAACGTACACGCGCTTCTTAGTTTAAACCAGTTTCATAACCTAACGAGGACGTATCTCTAAAGCATGTCAGACATGTGGGAAGGGAGAGGCAATCAAAAAAATTTGGGTTATGTCAGACTTTTAAACTGGTATGGAACCGCTTAATGTGGACCTGCGACCAATATGGAAAGTTGTAACGATGTCTGAGAGATTTATTATCTACCCAACTCGGTTGTCTGCACTTCAAAGCACTCCGTACAACCTGTAGGACACGTTGGATAATTCGAGAGTATGCACCGCACTCACGGATTGCAACACGACTGTCAAGAACCAGGTAATGCACGTGTCGTTTTTTTTTTACCCACTTCAGCTGTATACGTCGTATGGAAGGTATATTGATTCTAGCACATACATCAGAGCCCACGTTATCATTGGTGGCGGGTTCTGTAGCTGTTTTCTTAGGCCACATGATGCTGTGATCTCGAACATTCGCTCATAGAAGTTGTTGATAAATATTTTGATGTCATTTTTTAGCCTGTGAGCACTGCAAATACAACCGAAGGCGTGTACGCATGCTTACATGTATGAAATAATGAGGATGGGTGGTATGGAGTGTATTGTTCTGCCACTGTCCTCGATTTGATGTAGAATACAAACGCATTCTTAACGAGCTGCCCAGATTGGATGATTGGCCGCTTTGCGAGCAGCTGCTATACATGACATCGTCCCCATTGGTCTTCAGCTCGCAAGAAAATGAAGGCACATTTGTTCTTATTGAGTACGACGTACATTTATACATGAAACTGATCCATGCGCCAGGTATCAGTGCAGGACGCAAGCTATTGAAAATATGTGCACAGCTGTTGGGGGGGGGGGGGCGATGGAGGAGGCGGGGGCATAGTTTTGTACGCGCTGATGCGACTATCCCGGACCACAAAATATTTTGCCGTTGTGGTCTCCTCATGACCTTGTTTGCTACTTCCGCATTCGGCACTTTTTCGGAAATCTTTGCGAAAATAATGAAAAATGTTTGAAAAGCTGGATACATTCGTTGATATTTGAATATTCCTATGTGACGACCGTGTGAATTATGGAAATTCGATTTTTGTCTTTGGTATTTTGATATATTGAGAAACTTTTTGGTTGTTACACCCGTTTCTTAATACCTCCAGGTGTAGTTGTGAACCAAAAGCAGCCGACATTGATGCCTCCACCTACACTGCGTCAAGTACTTCTCTAGTTCTCTTCACCATGTGCTGCGCAAAGATCTCGCTATTGCCAAAAAAAAAAAGCTAGACATTTATTTCGTCTAGTTTCCTGACTCCATCCGCCAGTTCATCCGGAACCAGATTGTGAGTGTACTCCGTTGTATGCGCTGATGGTCTGCACTTTATCTTGAACAAGCATACCATTCATTGACGGAGCAAGATTATGGGGGGTTTCGAATTCCCGCCACTTTCCACAGAAATTTGTCAAATTGGAAGTGTATAACTATGCGTATACGTTCATAGGTCAAGGCTGGCTGAACTTTCCCGGAACGAAATTCTATGTGCGCCTCTGATACCATCCTCTCATCACTACACTTATGAGAACTTCACCACAAGGACCATACTGTATAAACTAAGTTCCAGTACTGGTAGTCCATGGCAAGCACGTAAAAGGGTTCAGATAAATGCGCTGAACACCACAAAGGCAATTCCAGCTGGACTACGATCGCAATGACTGAACCCCCAGTCGTCGCGACGCACAGTTTTTCTCCCCCTCTGTCTCCCAGTCTTGTTTCTATAACAACGCAGCTCTTTAAGCCAGCCGCAAAAAGCGTGGCGTGTACGAAAGGTTAGCGCCTGCCGGTATCTGGCATTACTGTGCGACAACTGGAAACGTGCCCTTAGAAACTTACTCTTCAGCTTCTTTTAGCGTGGTTTAGCCTTTGTTGCTGGCCCCTGCTGGTGTTTCGATAATTCATGCACACAGAATGATTCTGATCAAGCGCTCGCACCTCGAGCGCAGTTGTGCCAAACCAGGATGCAGTCTTCAAGGCTGCAATAATTTTACACGCTGCACAAAACGTTCTGTTTTCCGACCAATGGTGATAGAAAAAGTGCCTGCATTGCAATTATTACGCAAATGAAAGTGGCTCCCCACAACACTCGCGCAGGTTTGTTCGGCCCACTTCACTAAATGCAATGTAGACCTCAGCAGAGACTATTGGCACGTAGGCGATGTTAAGACGTTACGTCAGAAGAAGGCCACCCAGTTACAGGGACTACATCGGACGCCGTCGTCTTCTACCCGTGGCAGATAAGTAATAAGTGGGCTGGCACCTGAATCAAAACGTGAAAGCTAACAGTGAAAATTAATCTTAGAGGTGTTTCTTGAAAATTGCAGCCATATCAATGATGTTGTCTCCTCTTCCAAGGAACCTGGGAAACAAAACAGCCGCACTCAACATGAATTGTCGCACAGTGTACGTCGCGGTGTCCTTGTTTCGTTGCCGTTGCATTTCATTTTATTTTAAAGTGATACCTGTTAGGAGGTTCACAGAAGACGACTCATCATCCGTCTTGCTGCTTCAAGTAATATCACCGCATTCTAGCTCATTTAAGTTTCAGTGTGAACATGTACTGTTGTTTAGGTGAGTTTAAGTTGAAGTTTGATTCATGAATAGTTTACTCGTGAGTATAAACCATATAGTTTGCGTGCAGGCAATTGACATAATCGCACAATGATTACATTCTATAATTTCTCAGTCACACTGAGCACTTCGAATCGTGAGCGATTCTCATCACCACTGATCTCTATAAAAAGTGTCTGGTGTGACACAGGTGCAGAAATGGGCATTTTATGCTGAGGTTGTGTGCTTAGACGAATACTCAAATATGTTCGTGGTTTCACAGGAGGATGATTTTCAGGTCTAGTTAAAAAGCTTAATTGTACAACTTCACTACGAATCGGACAACTCTTCGCCTGCATGTCTACGATGTGGGAGTGATTTGAAGACGCGGCCTGGGAAAATACAAGTGTTGCCTATCTCTTCTTTGTCCGTATCTTCAAATCACGCCCACATCGTTGACATGCAGAACCAACTGGCCCAATTAGATGCACTGACTAACTTCTCCTGCAGTTTATGCATTTTCTATTTGTACCTCCCCTGCGCGCCGTTGAGCCCCTTCATCTGACCGCTTGACATTGCTCTAAACACCTCCTAAGGGATGCACCAAAAATAATAGAGCAACAAACTCAAACACATCCCGAAAACACCGCTGGGACCATCGAAAAAGCATTACCGAAAGCTGCACACGGGAGGTCTTCTTCGGCAGGCTGTTCGGTAAAAGCCAGTTTGTTTACAAACAACGAAACCGTCTATTAAAAAACTGTCACCATCATGAACGTATGTGTGCGATGGAAAATGCGCCAGTTCCCCTGCTCACGACTGGTCCACTAAAAATCATAAAGACAGCAAATGGACGGCAACCTATTAATTCTAGACAGACGTAGCCAGCACTTCAGAAAAGCTTTAATAAACCATCGGGATTAAACAAGCGATAAACAACGCGGCCAACCATTTCAGCTTCGCTGAAGCATCTGTACAGAGTGCTTCAGTGGTAAGCACGACAAGAGAATGCGAGGAAACGGGAAAGGTTCGAGAAGATCCTCGAAGCGATGGCAGCTCAACGCGAACTGCGACGTATCGGTTAGACCTACGGGAAGTGGAATCGCTTGGTGTCAGCGCCAAGTTAGACATCAATGTCATGTCTGTAACTATCTTTGGGTCAACTCAAACCTCTCTGGGCTGAGCAGGAAACCTAAAAACAACCTAGAAGAAACCACGTTGAACTACAGAATCGTCCAGCTACGCTGTTTTAAGCCTTGCGTGGCTTAATGCCGCCATTTTCCTCCCTGGAGTCCATCCGACTGTATGCTCAACGATTTCCACCATACCCCTGAACACACTCGCTCACAAATAGGCTCTTTTGAAATAATCTCTCAATCTTTCTCTACCTCTCGATCTCGGTCTTTATGATGTTTTAATATTTCTCCCCAGCATGACCTCTTACCTGGGGTCGAGGCTCACTCGTTGATGGAGTAGTGTTGTGAGCACGAAGAGAAAGCAGTTGAAGAGGTTGAAGCGGTTTTCCATGCACTCGCCGCCCTTTCCGTCGTCCACCAGCATCCACTCGCGGAAGCTGAGGCGCGCGCTGATGTACATCACGAATACGGTGCACGCCGTGGCCAGGAGAATGTAAATCCACACCTGCAATACACGGGGCCGTACGAGTGACAAAGTGACAACCTGAACGAGCGCTACGACAATGTTTGTTGTAAATTAATACGAGAAATGTATAGTTACTGTTTCGAATATTCAAACGAAACCAAATGAAACAGACACTCGATAAAGAGAACTTTAGTTTTGTGCATGCACTTTTCACCTATGGCTAACAAGTTATGTTTTTGGAACCATGCTTCTTGAAGCAGGTACATGCGAAGCAGTTATAAGTAAGCGCAACAAATAAGTTTGTACTTTCCCGTGAGTCTTGCGAATGCGAATGCACTGCGACAGTGCACTCAAACATGAGCGATCTATAGCTCGCAGATAATAAACTACAACCCACTGCGCGAAAGTTTTCACAATAGAATGACGTGACGCAACGATGTGCCATGACAAAAAAACGTGATTAGACATTTTTTTCTTTTTTGTTTGCTTTTTCAACGTATAGTTAACGCGAATTTTCCTAAACCGAATAGCAATGTGTAGTTCGTGATCTCAGAACCGATCACAGTGAAAACTGTTATGAAGTAGAAGCAGCCGACTTTGGTGACGTAGTTGTCCGCCATCGCCACTGCCGGTTTCTGTAACCACTGTCGCACGAAACGGCAATAGCCTCCAGTCCTGCATGAAACACGCACCATAGACGCAATGAAATCTGCAGCACTAGCCTTTCTGAAGCATGTTGTAAACTGTCTTGGTATACGTAGGGGGGTAGAATGAATAAATGAATGAATGAATGAATGAATGAATGAATGAATGAATGAATGAATGAATGAATTTTATTAAAAGCGAGTCCAGTCGTTTACTTCGGGCGAAGTTTGGAGAAAAGGGGATCAGAGTAATAGAATAACCATGTGTCACACAATGCCAATTGGTGTACGATTGGGTCTTTCAAATATTCCAACCCATCACAAAGGAATCGGTCGTAATTTTTGATCATCATCAGCCACAGAGATAACCAAGAAAATCTAATGTCTTGGATGTGTAGCGGGTACCTCGCTTCTCCGCGAAACGATGAATGATGGCATAACGACTGCTTTCCTGCATCGCAAAATTTATTATACTTTATGGCGTAGTGAGTATCTTGCATGCGCCCTTGTAGCGATTTAGACATGAGAGCTTACAACGTTCTCGAGAAAGGCCGCTCTTCAGGCTTTCACAGTGACAACGCTACATAATTCGTGCAGGCCTGGCGTAATTTTTTTTAATATAGTTCGGATCTACCACCTCAAAGAGCGTTAATTGTTGTTTTTGTTGCTTTCCTTTAGGAACAACTTTACTTTTTTTATGAGTTCATTTATTCGGCCTTAACGGATATACCTGAAATGTGTGAAGATACCAAACCCGGTAGTGGTAATTTTTTGCTAATTAAGGAGTGTGTTACCCCACCATCCTAATTTCATTTATACGCGCACGGCACGGAACTACACGAGCGCTTTATTGAACTGTCGCAAAACGTTCACACCTGATCGGGAAGAGAGAGATATTTTAATGACGAGTTAGATATGTTAGTCTGGCTTTCCATCTGACATGCAACTCTGGGTATTGGGTGATGATTATTATATATACACTGATAAACACTGATATGGATTAGGTACTTTTCAAGGATTCCTTATGGATAATAATAAATATTTCTAAGGAATATGAGTGGGTAGCGGCCTCTGTCGAGCACTTCAGTGGCTCCACATGCTACAATCTCGGAAAACTATTCGTGCTGTTTCTTCAAGTCAGCACACGAGGGCGGCAGAGGCCACGTCGATAGGGGGTTTCAAAACTTGCATCCCAGTGACGCTTTCCTCTTGAATAACGGCCACACATCTCAGAGGCTATGATTTTCGTTACTGCGAGCGCCTCCATTTAACGTCGGCAGCCGCAGTTATACAAATGGCCAAATCCTCACCCTCTCAGGAAAAGTGAAAATTTGGAAGCAAACCAAAAACCTATTAAGACTAACGATAAGGCTGTCAGCCCAACGTGCGACTACTACGTCAGAATGTTGAAGCATTGTCTACAAATTTATAGTAGCCCAGCCGAATACACATTACCTGCCAGTAACGCTCGCTGTATCAGATGTCACGTGACGGGCCGATTTCGCAAGGGAAAGAAAGGGGTAGTTGCTTACGCCGTGGTGACGTAAAAATGACGTCACAGGACGTCGCCAGGATGTCATGAGTGATTTCACAATAACGTCATGTGGTGACGTCATCACGAGGCAATTTTCGCAAAACTTGTGTAGATGCCACGGACACCGAACGGTTCGTTTTTGAGTATGCTGAGGCTCGTATACGGCTGTCGCCTAAAATAACGAAAAGAAACGCGCATGCGAGGCACAAAGGACCACCACTTTCCTCTCGAGTGAGGGGCAGGAAGAATGCCAAATGCCCCCGGGACTCCTGGGTTGTCCTTTCTTGGTGACTGCCACCAGACCAGCCGTCATGTAGGGCAGCGTGAAGTCGATCACCCGCTCACGCATCTCGGTGATGGTCAGGTCGGCCAGTGCCACGTCGGCTTTCTGCGACCCAGTGTTGCAGAGGGTTATTCAGAAATAAAAAAAAAACATACCTAGCAAGAAAAAAGCAGTGGTGACATTCAAATGCATCTCAACAGGCACTGTATTGAAATCAGAGTAATGTCAAAGAAAACGAAACGATATCTCTATATTGGTTTCGGTGATAATGCTGCCTTTTGGCTCTTCCAGCCGAAGCTGCCGTGAAGTGCCATTTCGGACAAGAAATAGCAACGAATCTCGGAAAAGTGCATTCTAACAGAGAGGCTCACTGATTCCCCGACATTAACTTGCTTATTTGTGTATTTCCGGTGCTCGTTAAAACAGGATAATGTTGCGTGCTAAATATGTGGACCTAAGTGGGTTAAGAATAGCCAAGTTATGCAGTATTGATACACTATCAGCGCCTTCCACCATTCTCCGTCTAAAGATCGCGTTGTCTACCATTTCATTGTGAAAGATGGCTCCATCGTTAGCAGATTATGATCTAAAAACGTAAGTTCCATCACTTGTGCTTATATTGGGGTGCGAGTTTATTCTTCTTGCACTTACATATAAGCACGCGGGTGTAATCTTTGCACTTGTAATCGAAGCCATGCCCTCGAGCTCATCAAGGCGACAACTGCAGGCAAAACTAGTACGGCGAAAAGACGGGCTAACAGCGTGACGTAGAATACCAATTACTAAAATGACAAGTACTGACTTATCGAGAAAATAAACGCGAGCAAGGCGGATGATAATTGTTCTTGTTGGAGAAAATGCCATCATAACAAGTATAAGCTGTTGGTAGAGTGTATGCAACAAAGGCTGAATGACAACCTGCAATATGGGCTTAGCCAAAGGGAGGGGAGGAGGTGTCTGAACTCCACCCTCCTCGGAAACGTTTCAATTTTTCTTGCGTATATATACACGCACACATACAAACGCCCGTACGAACAGACATGATGTATGAATGAAACCGCCCCCCTCCAATAAAAAAAAAATTCTGGCTACGCTCCTGACCTGGATGGATGGATGGATGGATGGATATGGCTGTGCCCTTTAGATCGGGCGGTGGCTAGCGCCACCTAGCCGTAACACCTAATGAACCAAAAACTATATTTATTTTTTTTTCCTTAAAAAGTGAGTTTGAGGATTCGTACTTTGCAGTGAAGAGTTTAATTTTCACTCGTGTCTTGACTTTAGCCACCAATCAGATAACCTCCTTCTGGTTAAGTCTACCCGCTTAAAGTTTATTTTGCCCTCCCGGTCCCTAAACCCCAGTGCTTTGAAAAACTCTGCGCCATCATCCTGAACTATAGGGTGAAGCCCTTTACAGAACATTATCAAGTGTTCGGCAGTTTCTTCTTCCTCTCCACACGCACTGCATACTGTGTCTACCCCTTCGTATTTGGCCCGATATGTCTTGGTTCGCAGTACTCCCGTCCTGGCCTCAAACAGTAGAGAACTACCCCGAGTATTATCATAGATCCTTTCCTTGGCAATTTCCTGCTTAAAAGTTCGATAGATCTCTAGTGAGGACTTCTTAATCATGCCCATTCTCCACCTGTCAGTCTCCGTTTCCTTCACTTTCTTCTTAACCGATAGTTCTTTTTGGTTTGGCCACCTGCTGTTTTCTAAGTATTTACCAGTCAACTTCCTGGTTCGCTTCCTCCATTTTGTATCGACATTCTTCATGTACAAGTAGCTGAAAACCTTCCTAGCCCAACGCTCTTCCCCCATTTCTCTCAATCGTTTCTCAAATTTTATCTTGCTGCTAGCTTCCCTGCCCTCAAATGATGTCCATCCCATATCACCTTGTACTCCCTGATTTGGTGTATTCCCGTGAGCTCCTAAAGCAAGCCTACCTATTCCACGTTGCTTAATTTCTAATCTTGCTTGAACTTCTGATCTCATGCACAAGACCGCATTGCCGAACGTCAGCCCAGGAACCATGACCCCTTTCCATATTCCTCTCACAACACCATACCTATTGTAATTCCACAATGCCCTATTTTTCATGACTGCTGCATTCCTGTTACCTTTAGTCGTCACGTATATTTCGTGTTCCCTCAGATACTCGGTCCCATTGCTTATCCATACGCCCAGATATTTGTATTTATCTGTTATCTCTAGCGTGACCTCCTGTATTCTAAGCTCACTACCTTCGTTGTCATTGAAAATCATGACTGCTGATTTTTCCTTACTGAATCTAAAATCTAACCTATCTCCCTCATTACCGCAGATGTCCATCAATCTCTGCAAATCTTCCTTGTTGTTGGCCATTAGCACTATATCATCTGCGTACATTAATGCTGATAGTGCCTGATCAATAAGTTTTCCTTGTTTGACTAAGGAGACCTGTGCGCAGCTATAAGCGCCATCTATTCAATCCTAAAGCAACTAGAGCAAGGAAAACCATGCACGTGAATAACCGCCCTTCCAGAGATGGCGCTGTTATCCTGACGTTGTAGAACTCAACGTACGGATCGATACGGCCTCAGAAATTTCATACCGGAGGCCCCACAGCAATTTTGGAGGCCATATATAAAAACTTGGGAGAGTTCCCAGTGTATCGGCAACTTGGCGCACCGTGTCAACCGCTGTTCAGTATTCGTTGGCTGCGGCCAGACCCACTGGTGTCCGAGATAGCAGGCTGCTGTGGGCTCTCTCTCTCTCTCTCTCTCTCTGTGTGTGTGTGTGTGTGTGTGTGTGTGTGCGTGTGTGTGTGTGTGTGTGTGTTGCGGGAGAGTTCGACATTAACGTCTTAGTCAGTCAGACTCCTTGTACGCCAGTTTTTGTACGTCTGTCAGAGTGTTGTAATAAACTAGTCAAAAAACAAAGGTCCAATTGTGCACCATGCCCTCTTCTCGGAGAGTGGAAGTAGGCACATTATTTGCCGCTGTAAACTCTTTTGCTAGTACAAGTGAATAAATTAAAACATTACAGCTAAATACGAACTTTGGGGCGTGAATTCCCCAAAAAACGCAGTCTGATATTTGGCACGTCGCAAAGGGAGACCATGGATAAATTTTGACGAACTAAATCTTTGTTTTTTTTTTACATCTGATGAAGTCTTGCAATTTTTGAAATGTTTGGCCACTCGTGAGGTTTGTGTCATGGCCTTCTTTACGCACGCATAGCGATAAACTACAAGAACTCTTTCTATATATATTTATTTTGGTGCACACTTATGTGCATAGGCTAACATTATATAAAAAAAAAACTCAAGGTATCCCTTATGAAATCGCCTGCGAAAACTTCACGGTGAAAACCATCTCCTTCCTTTGCTTCCCTGTACCTACTGATCCGCCCACGCCCATCTCCGAAAGTTTTCTGAGCTATGCCTTTGTCGGTTCCCCTTTCCACCAAGGGAACATGAACAAGCTCGTTAAGGCGGAGAAACTGACCTCTCGAATTCTCACCGTCCAGAGGGCCCACGCGAGGGCTGTAAGGTTTAACCTGATCGTCCCCGTGTGGGCCTAGCCAGTTGACGTCGAGTTAATTCATGCCTATTGTCGACGTATTGAAGTTGTTTCACTCACTCACTCACTCACTCACTCACTCACTCACTCACCTAACCTGGTTTTCAATCACTTCCAAGGTGCAAAGTAGTGCAACGTTTCTGCACCACACCTTGCTTTGCAAGGCCTCCGTGATTGGCTTACATTTGAACAAGCGACGACGTGATGCGATGACGTCATCATCTGACGGCATGGTATGGGGCATCACGATAACGTCATAGTGACGAAATGAAGACATCACATATTTTGAATATCTGTGTGATGCTACATGGGATCTTCATCGAATAGTGTGACGATGTATATATATATATATATATATATATATATATATATATATATATATATATATATATATATATATATATATATATATATATATATATATATATATATATATATTGCGTTTCTCGTGTTGATGCCACCAACTCCGACTGTAAACTTTTCTCTTTGAGGCTTTCGCCTTAATAGGGCGCCAGCAACTGGAGTAGAACTTAGAGTGGTCGAACATAGCGCATGCAAAACGCAAAAATGTCATAAAACACCCTCTCCCCCTACCCCACCCCCCCATAAAAAAGAAAGGACATAACGAATACGCAGCTTGTTCATTGGGATAACTTATTACAACCACTGTGTTGGAGCAGAACGAAAACCGAAAACAAAAACCAAAGAAAAAAGAAAGTTTTTCACAAAAACGAAAACGTAACCGACACGTTATCTATTATTTCGTCCGGAGTGAAATAAAAAAATTTTTCAACACATTTTTGTTACCACGGAAACTTCGCAATCCGACATATCCGAGGTCATGCAACGTGAGCAACAATGCCAATCTCAGAGTATAAGACCAACGCCATTACGTACAAAAATTTGAAAGCAAGGCAGCCTTGAAATTGTGGGAAAAACAAACAGTGGCAACCAGTGATTCTTACACTCAAGACATAGGCACTGTGCCGTGCTCAATTCCGGACTTCAGAAATTAGGCGCCTTCTTCTTCTAACCATCACTACAACCACAACTGAAACAAGTGGACTTTCGTGTACCTGTGACGGAGGCCAGCAAGGCGAGGGAATTCTCGGCGTGGAGCGTTGTTTTATATGAGCAGTGGTCTCACATATCAAAGGTACGCTGCATGAGGGGCTCCTCCCGATATCGTACTCACTGCCTTGACACAAGCAATAAAATTTGCTTTCAATTTAGAGAAATTCACTTTTGACAAAGTCTACTATAACTTTGAAAGGCGCTGATTTTCACTGATTTGTGGCAATTCTAGGTACACTGAGTTGTGCTCCTCTTGAAAACAGTGATAAGCTGTTCTACCCTTGCCCCACAGGGACACTAAAGGCAAATATTAAGTCGATGTTTATTGTCTAAATAGCAGTCCAGAAACCTTTTAGTGTTACTTTTGGGCCAAAAAAGTGTTTATTTTGAAATGAAATCACGTTTTAGTGGTCCCCATTGGGTTAGCGCACTTCAAACTATTCTGCTCCAGCGGAACGTGTCACGTCAATCTTGCCGTGCACAAAGTTGCCTGGCTTTACTGCGCGGCCACCGACACTAGTAGCATCAGAAGGAAAGCAGAGAGAGGCACAGCAGCAACTACAGCGATTGAACGATTTCCTGCCATTTGCTACGAGATGGCACACGTGCTTGGTTCAACTGAGTTCCGCTAGATAACACAACCTGTCCAGTTTAACCAGGCGAAAATTAAACTTTTGAACCACTCGCGCCATTTCCCATAGTAATTCCCGGTGGTTGTTTTTTCCATGAAAAAAAAAAAACAGGAACGAACAAGCAGCACTTTATTACGTCTCTTGATGCACGGAATATTCTTCATTTAGTGAAGCTAGTTTGATTACTAGTGAATAATTTTGGTCTGTAACTTTGACGTCACCTGTATAATTTTGCAAGTGTCCAACTTCGGTGCATGTGTACACGTGAATTTATCCTAATTTCTCGACAAGTATAGCATTGATGTTGATGATAATGTCGTTTTAGGCGTTGTCATACATTGAGCATTCACTCTCCTGTAAACTGTTATTTGACTTTAGTGCCCCTTTAAGAGGCGTGTACGTAACTGTGTGACATATGCAATATATAGTCATCGCTACTCTTTACCGTCAAATTTTTTCATGCAAATAAGTAAACTTACAAACCATTGCGCAACATTTTCCCCCAGTCCGAAACCGAAACAGAACGGAACTTTTTGCGGTGGAATGAAACTAAAACCTTAACGAAAAGCACTTTGTTCCACCACCCTGCTCAGAATGATACTGACTGTAGTTTTACCGTGAACATTTTATTAACCTTGAAATATGTTTGTGTGCAAGTGTACTAGAAGTCTGTACAATGCATAGGATTTTTCTAAGGCGTAACTCGGAGAGTATCTGGATAGTAACGTGGGATTCATTCTAGTCTCAATTCAGCTGTATGTTGTACAGGCAATAAAATTCAGGCAACAACAAACGTGAAGCGCGTGCGCATTGTCTTATATCCAGGCCTCAGCGGTTGCATTTCAGTGAAAGTAAAATGGTAGAGGACCATGTGCTGTGTGATCTTAAGGCACGTTGTAGGACATCAGATGGTCAAAATTTTCGGACTCTTCCACTACAGCGTCTTTTGTAATCATATCTCTATTTTTAAACGTAAAATCCCAGATGTTATTATAACAGATGCATAGTGGGCACTTACGCCAGCTATTACGTCTCCGATCATTCCGCTCCAGTGTCCCGTATCGTTTGGTGCACCGCGCGCACCGTCCATCATAACGTGAAGCTCGTACTTGAAGTTCAGTTCCTGCGACAACTTGTCAAGCAGGTCGACGCAGAAGCCACTGTAGACGCGCTTGCCGTCCACTTCGTTCACCATCATAAATGGACTCACCTGCATTGGAGAAGGGTTTCGCTGAATGTCGGCAGCAGGTCATAACTAGAAACACAAGGCTGGCAGACAAACCACTTCGCTTCTAAACCTTAGGTGCTTGATTAGATTAGGTCAGGTCAAGTGAGTTTAGGTTAAATTATGTTAGTCAGACTAAGGCAAAGTACATATATGTACTTTGCCTTAGTCTTCATCGTATACGATCAAGGCGAAATGCTAAATCCGTGTGAGCTTCGAAATTTGGGATCATTTATAAAGGACCCTGTCACACTTTACAACTAACCATCGAATGGTTTGGTTATAGGAGTTTAATATCTCCCGAATCTACCATCCCCATTTGTTAAAGAATTGGCGCAGTACGAAGATAATTGTTTTACGCTGCAATTGCTTTCGCTCCTCTCTAGTTCCGACGAGACCACTGGAAGCTTAGAAGGGCAGGATGAAATGGGCAAAAAAAGCTTCGTCATGCACGCGTAATACCCCTAGGCACATTTTATTCGAATGGGTGGCTTACATTCAATGGAACGGTGAGATTCGCGAACGGGCTTTATTGCGCACTCACACTTAGCAGTCTCCTGTAGTGGTGTCACGCGACTATGCCACTAAAAATGCTCTAATCAGCCAATGGTCGTGAAGTTGAGTGATGGCGCTGTCACCTGGGTATATGGTGTCATTTGTAGAAAGGTTAGAGAACAAGTTTCAGCTCACTTTGAAGAGTAATTGTAAATTCCAGAAAAAGAGCTGTGCTATAATGTAGGGCTCGCGTGTTCACAGGAGGCTCGATTACCAATCGGCAGAGTTTTTTGACCATGCTGAAAAGTGTCTCAGAGCCCATTTAAAGAAACACAGGAGGTCCAAATTTCCGAGCCTTCCACTGGGGTGTCTCTCTTGTTCATGCTGTGGTTTCAAGGCGCAAAGCCCTAAGAATTATTACGGTAAGGCAGACTTGGATCAGTTTACATTAGGTTAAATAAAGTTTGGTTATACTTTGGCTCTCATGAACGTGGTATGACGTACTTTGGCGTAAACATAATATCTGTAAGTTAAAACATTTTTACCAGATCGCTTGCAGCGCTTACACTTCCCATAACAAGTTGTAGGCGACTAGTAAGTGGAAACGTCATCGTTATGATGGCGTGCCACTAGTGTTGCGTGTGGGCCCGTGAACTCGCAATGTCTATGACTTTTTAGGGGCAAAGCTCCTTAAGGCGTGGGCTGTGCGCCCCCTCTATGTAGCCACCTCTCGTTTAGTTCTTGCTGTGTTCACTGGATGGCAGTACCATCCCCTGTATGTAGCCACCTCTCGTTTAGTTCTTGCAGCGTTCACTAGATGGCGGTACTTGTAGTTGATGATGAAAGTTGCGAGATGTTGCGAGATGGCTCGTGTCATTGGTGGAAGGCAATCGTTTGATTTAGTGCGGCGACGTTCGCTAGGGGGAGCGTTGTAATAAAATCGAGTGGGCAAAATGTATGGAGGATTCATGGTTTACCAGGTTCACCTCAGGAGCTTCGCCCACTCATCATCATTCACTTCGTGGATATGACTGCACTTTTTTCTCTTTACAGCACAAATTCTGATAACTATTGCGATAATCTAACAGCACTTACGATATATAACATTGGATGTTGCAATTTTACTAGGACAAACGCTGTGATAAGGTGATTATCCTCGCAGATCAATACAAAAAGAAAAAAACTAATGAGGATCGCACTGTGGTTCGCCTAGAAATTTCGGTCGAAACATCAAACTGTGCGGAGCAGTTTAAACGCATCGAAAGCCTGCAGGCGTGCTCATTCGTCAGTGCGGAGATAAATGAGGATGCCGCTAATGGAGGTGTCATGTACTTCTGTGCTTGAGATCGGCGTTTCAAGCGACGGAGCTTCCGGCAGAGTTCGGTGGTCGATACAGTTATCGCAGCTGGCAAAAAAAAAAAAACCTTTTGGGCAATTTGACTAGGTCCAACGCACTCGTATAATACGACTGTGCCTCAATTTTCGTCAGCAACTCATTTAGGACGAGTAGCTCAGCTAGCGATTCAACGTCTGCAGCCAGTAATTCATCATCGGTGGGTGGTTTCTGCGCGACAATATGCTTTGTCCAAATTGTATGCGCTAGTATGTTCATTTTGGATTTAACGGGTTGCAGTGGCTGGTTCAGACGCACTAACCTTGTGGCATCTGACGTATTAGAACGATTACAATAGTCATCACCCGTGACACCTTCAGACATGCTTTCAAAGATACCTCACAATAATGTAGCTCTTGCGTACTCCTTACACAGCTGAGTGGTGAAAAGGGTTAGTTTAATTCTCATTAGACTGATTAGAGTGGTTAGGTAAACTAGTGCTTTAACAACTGCGGTCGACCATTTGTCATAGGCACGCAGTTTCTGTGTCATGACACACCATGCTCAAACTCTCAGGACTAGTTTACCAATTACTGTTATGAATGACTAGGGGTAGCAGTTTATGTCGCTTTAATACAGGTAACTTTTATGCGAACAAATGAAGTTGAATTCAATGTAAGTAATGAGCCTTAACTTGATTTAATGATCTACAACACGTGATATTGCTTTTGAACTGTTCCAACTTAGTATAGTTATTATCAATCAATGAACCCACTACATGACATAAGATGAAGGAGAGATACTTCGTGGATTGCCACCAGGCAAGCATTTTTCTCGTATGGCGCAGTTTATACTATTTTTTTGTTTCATTGAAGCCACAATATTGTGATTCATGCCAAGGTGTTCTTCCGCCATCTTTCCTTCGGGTTGCACGTAGGTAGTTCTTATAAAAACAAGTGCAGGTATATTTATTTAAGGTGTAGTTTTTGATGATGTCACGTGGGCTGTTCGTGATTCATAAATAAAAATAATGAGGCACAAATGAACCGCGGATTTCCTTTAGTGGCCTGTGAAAGTCATAGGGGTGCCACTACTTAGCACAAATGGAGTATAAACGCGTGCATTTCAGGAATAGAGCGATTAGAAACGCAGAATTTGGGAGGTAGGAAAGAAAGATAAACTTCATTGACTCTAAAATTTAAACAGGTTCAAAACAAACCTACTAGGGTGATACAAACATAAATACAATGGTATATAGGAGTATTTATAAAAGTATTGTAAGCAGTAAGCTAAATAAGCAGAAATGTTCAGGTTCAGTCACTTACAAGCAAAGGGTGAGAAGGTACAAGTTACAAACCGGAAGCAAGCAGGGTTCAGCAAGCCGGGTCACTGGGGAGACAAGATTACGAACACATTGCACAAACGTGTGGAATTCTATACAAAGTATGATGAACGAGGCGGTAATTTAGACGGGAAAGTAATTTGGCTCGGACTTTCGCATTGAAGTCGCAATCAATATACGCAGCAGCATTTCTCGCTGAACTCTTCGCGGATGAGGGTACTGCGCTGGTGCGCAATGGATGGACGCGGCGTTTAACCTGTCTCCCTTCCCGGCCATTTCTGCTGACTCATTCATGCGTGGGAAGTACTTAGCGACGAAATATTGCGCTGTCTCAAAACAGCGAGAGCGTGAAGTAGCGGATGAAATCCAAACGTGAAGGTGGCGTGAAATGAGAATATAAGCATCGTAGATGAATAACTCTTATTGCCTGGGTGCCTTAATCCTTCGTCTACTTCTTCACGCCTTAGTTCGGTGCATTGTCGAGAAATAGACAGCGACATTTAATGGTCATCCCGAAGATTTTGGCCCGGTTTATCACTCTTGCTACTACAGGTACAGGATGCATACAGTGACCTTGTGACGTTGTTTGACAGGCAACTAGTGTTTGCAAACCAAGAATGCTGATCAGGGACTGAGATGAATTAACATGTATTATTTGGTCAGAGCAGTGGTGGCTAAGGAACTGCATATTTGACCTCCTCTTCGCTGTTGCAAACTGAGCGCAAAGATCTGGATGTGCGAAGTTCGTTATCATGGCAACTTGGTGCCTTCTATAATCTAAAGGTGTAGCGTGTGTTTATCGATTCAACTGCAGTTTTCTCGCCATGATATAGACTTTTAGAACGTCTCACTGATAAAAATTTTACGAAATTCATGTCAGATGAAGTGTTGTTTAGAAAGAAATAGCAAATTGCTAGAACCTTCTCAGCATGAGTACAATACGCAATTGGGACGATGCTACTTACAGGAACAGATAGAACACGTAGTACTTCATCATCCTCGTCATCTTCATCTTCTTCCTCCTCGGTGATGTTCAGGCCAATAGATGGCGACCATGTTCCAATCTACAAGTTTTTTATAGAAGAAAATTACTGGCAGATAACAAACGGCACGCAGTCTTTATTATCCCTTGTTCCCGTTGAAATTGCCATACACCCCCGTGAACGTCGCGGGACTAGGGTATCTATCTCCTCGAACTAACTCCGCTCAATTTAAGTTGCATGAAACAAGAACGCCGCCATATTGCCACCAAATAAAAAAAATAACGTGTCAAAACCTAATTTGGCATGGTAGGTAGTGTAATTGCAATACTAAGATGACTTGGCTTATTGAATAGTTCACTTGTTTGTGCAAGGAAGCGAGACTTTATTATTTAGGTGTTCTTTTGTTTTGTTTTGTTTTGTTTTGCAAGCTCGAGAAGAGCTTAGTGAGTGTTTAGCTCAAGAGCTCGCACAAAATCATTTTATAAATCAAGTTTCGTTTTCTTTTATTTACCGTGAAAAATAAATGATAACTATTTTCAGATAATTTTTGCCCGTCTTGTAATATTCGTTAGGTGTTTCAAATTACTGAGTGTACCGAAAGCGTTCTCAGTCATGCCTGATTTTTTCTCTTGCTTCAGTGCCAAATGCTTTTCTTTGTCGCTTGAACTAGTGCAACAATTGCCACTTGGATGCTGAAAAGATGTGTTTTTTCCATACAATGAGACAAATACCACGAAAGAAGATTACTACTTACCTCCTCCAGTCCATCGAATCCAAGTTCGCTCACGTAGAGTTTAATGTCAGTTCTCACGCCTTTGTTGTCAAGTTTTACCATTCCTGTAAGTCCATCGAAGCTGACCTGTAAATTCAAACCATATTATCGGGTAACCGTTGGGCCATTAAAGTTTATTCAACTCAATTACCAACTCAATGCATGAATTATGACCTCAAAGTCGACAGACTACCAAAATCATTATGGTACCGTAAGAAATAACAGTCCTGTTCAGAGTCATTTTTATTATTGTGAGGTATGGGAAAAAATGATATTGTATGTATAGTGCCAAAAATTTAGAGAAAAAAATAGGATGGAAGGAGCAATGAGTTTTAACTGAAATAACTGTAGGTATTTCGGCCACTCTTATGCCGTATAAAATACTGTATAAATGTGTTATAACACGCGTGTGATTACGCATAACTGCGTTGATTGAGGAATGAAAACTATCACGTAGGTCAAATTATGGCAAAAATTAGTGCATTTGCGCTAAGAATGATTGTATTACACAGTCGTTCAAAATGGAAGCAATGTTGCTAATCATGCACCACGAAAGCTGTCTTACGCTGTTGAACTATGTCAATACTATGCCTGTATGATCTATGAAAATGACTCTTACGCGATATATGTTTGAGACACAGATGGAGAGTGGACACATTTATGTCCTCTGAACAGTTAAGCCTTTTCATCATACCAGCACATATTGATTGGTAGATGGAAGGCCCCCACAAAAGCTATGAATTGCAAGAACACTGTAAGCAATGTTTATTACGTTGCATCAAGGATTCACCCATGAAAGCAGACGTTGTCTAGAGTTGTCATTGGATAGATACAAAAAGGAACCAGAACACTAACAAAAAGTCGCCAAAGTAGTCATGCCAATAAATCTGATCGCCACATTTGTAACCAAATGATAGGAAAGCATCTCTGTGACATAGGTTTTTAATAATAAACAACGAATAGTACCATTTTGAATCAGCAACGAAGCAGTAATAAGAGCACAACTCTTGCCTTGATTGTTTTCTATTCTACTATACTATTATTTCCCTTATTGCTTTCTATTTTGGCCACAATTACGTTGCAAATAAAATAGAAAGTTGTCACTCTCGTGCGCCTACATATCATAGGTCCACGTATGATAGATAGACCAATTCTTAGAAACAGAGTAATATAGGAACATTCCAGCCAACGTTACAAAGTAATATAGGAAGATTCCAGACAAGTCTAATGCGCTTCACCCCTAATAAAACCGGGAAATTACTTCCCATTCCTCCCCAGTGGATGTGCCTTGATAAGCACAAGAATGCTGGCGGAGGGAGGTGAAGAAAGAAAAAGGTAGCCGTTAGGCATTTTATTATTGTGATAGCAAATATAAGGACACTATATATATATATATATATATATATATATATATATATATATATATATATATATATGAAACGCACGAAAGAAAAGGCCAGAAAAAGCGTCAGTTACTGGGCTGACGAGAAGTACCTCTTTCGAAGTTGAAACGGTAAGGTAATTATATCTACCAGTCCGCTGTTGCCGGGCTTCTCGGGGTTGGGGGTGGGGGCTCTCGTGTTTTCAGCATTATCAGCAAGATGGCGCAATGAGCACGCGGCGGCTCTCATCTCTGACGCGTACTTTGGCCCGTGAAGAGGGGAGTAGTTGACGATCTCTCACGCGCCCTTATCTCCCGGTGGGGAGGATCGTACATCTTGGCTGGTGTTGGGCTTGCACTGGAACGAGTCTGTTGTAGTTAGTGGTGCATAGAGGTTATTGCAATCATTGCACAGCCTCCGTTTGCGAAAAGGACGTGCTTTTCAGGCACAGCGAAGTAACAACTGAGACGTTTGTTCGCGCTTGTATTTACCTGTGAGTACGTTTAGTGCGTCATTTGTGCGGGAGAAACGTGGGGAACATTTAGATCTGCTTGTCAGTGACCTCCCAATTTGTTGCTATTGCATTCATTGCTTCACCTTTGCGGCAAAGCTGTGACTTTTTTTTATCTGCAAAAAAAAATGACCACTAAGTAAGCCAAAATAGAAAATCAAGATAACGAAACAGAAGTCATGGCGTGAACGTCAAATTTTTGTCGTCAGATGGGTTCGTAAAATACTCAACTCAGCGCAATGTAGCCGCCACGTACGTAGAGTGTGTCGGGTCGCATGTATGTCAGTGCGTAGAAAAGTATACAATTAAAAGGATTCATTTGTTTTTCGGGCACATTAGTGTGTTTTTTCTCGTCAATATGATTACCTGATAAAGCTAGAAAAGTACATAAAACACTATCTACCGATGCGAGAACCCGTTTGCACATCCTGTCAAGTCCGCTTATTCAATAGTCCTCATGCCGTAATTCATCGATGCGCATTTGAATGCAAACTTTCTTCTTTCTTTCCTGAAAGCAATCACGCGTTTACCTTTTTCATCACTGCGATAAGCTCGTCGGTGTTGTTGTCGTCAGCAACTGTGTCCTCCCTGCAGTCCAATGCTGGAAAGGCTGCGTCCTTCCCGCCATTCCATTCGATGAGGCTGAGGGCAAAAAGTTTCACCGCGTCGTACAGCATGGCAGCGTCAGTCTGTAAACAAGACGAAAAAGTAGAGATGTCTGGTAAATGAGCATGCATCTACATTACAGTTTGCAAATCGCAGCTATGTGGTTTTTTTTATTGCATTCGAATTATGTGCCTACTTGGGGCTTGCGGCGAACATCAAGTTCAACGTAAACTTCAAGTGAACACATCCTCTCATGATGTGTATGTTTTATGTGCGAGCGAAAGCTTGCGAAGGGCTGCACACTGGGTGCGGCTCAAGCAGAGAGGAAATGCACCGGCCCGCTCTGTCGACTATGGAGCATGACGAGTGCCGAAGAAAAGGGAAGAGGGGCTGCATCGCTCTGGCAGTAGCTGTAAACTTTGATCGAAAAGGCATGGTCACGCTCCATTTTGACAGAGATAGGTAGACAGCTCTTGCCCTGGTACGAGCTGTTCTCTCACGCCTTGCGTCACGTGGAGGTGACACACAGCCAGGAAACGGCTTCTCTTACGCCAGCATAATGTGACGGCAGGTGAGCTTGAATTCTAAAGAAGTTAGTATAGCATCCCTATTGTTCGCTTTCGCGCTCATTGCTTCACCTTGGTGGTGAAATTGGGACACGTTTATAACAAAGTATGAAGAGAAGCTGAGTGGTACTTTTTGGGGGCGAAGCTCCCTATGCCGTGGGTCGTGCGTCCACGATTATATAGTAGTAGTAGTAGTAGTAGTAGTAGTAGTAGTAGTAGTAGTAGTAGTAGTAGTAGTAGTAGTAGTAGTAGCAATAGGTAGTCACTTCCATGGCTGGGCTAGAGGAGTGGCACGCGCGCACCCTTTTCTATTGCGGAGGAAACACGCACACGATAATCATAAATAAAAAAATAGTTGTTTCTGATGAGATAACTTAGAGAGACGAGTATTAGTGACTTAATTTCCGATAAATTCGCTTTGAAATTGATGCTTGCTAAAAAAAATCTAGTGCGAGAAGGACGCACTTTGAGCACTAACTGAACAGGAACTGAACAGGAACTGAACAGGAATCTGAACAGGAACTGTTCCCCCGTTAAGCTCGCTGGGTGTAACCTCCTTGGTTTTTGCAACTTCCATAGTAGATTGACAAGTACTGTAAATCGTTATACACTTTTTCTGAACACATGTTTAGCGAGGGTTCGGCCGCAGTGCCATGAATATAGAGAACTAGTATAAAACCAGGAACTATAGAGGCGGTGAAAGGTTGGAAGTAGACACGAAGCGCAGGCCGTAAGAAAGTGCGCGAGTGCCGCCTCTCGCTTATTGCTTGTAATGTCCTTTGGATGGTGGTACTTCTATATACTGAATATATGATGAAAAGATGCGAGATGGTGGTACATGGAGTGCTCACTATATGGACGGATAGAAGAATGGATGGACGGCCAACAGACAGATGCACGGACGGATGCACAAATGGAAGGATGGGCGCATGGATGGACGAACGGATGGACGCACAGACGGACGAACGGACAGGCGCACGAACGAACGCATGGACGGACGGAAGCAAGATTGAATGGACAGATGGACGCTTCGCCCCACACATCATCATGCACTGCGTGGATATGCTGTTATTTGTTAACTCATTTCAGTTTGTCATAATAATGAGAAGCAGACAATAATGTCAATAAGAGTATCGAGGATGTTATCAGGAGTAATAGTAATTTAAATTTGAAGAAAGAAAGTGGACGAAAAGATAACCTGCCACCGGCAGAGACCGAACCTGCCACCTCCAAATAACGCCCATGATAGATAGATAGATAGATAGATAGATAGATAGATAGATAGATAGATAGATAGATAGATAGATAGATAGATAGATAGATAGATAGATAGAGTGATAAACAGATAGATAGATAGATAGATAGATAGATAGATAGATAGATAGATAGATAGATAGATAGATAGATAGATAGATAGATAG